ACGAGCAAAATGGAGAAAATGAAAAACAAGGGCGTGTCGCTGATAACAAGTGACCTACAAAGTACATGTTGCAATATTTACCTTTTCAGCCTGTTCCTTTCCCAGGAAATAAAAAGAAACTGTTGCAAAAACTTGAATAAAAACGTATAACCAGTATCCCCATGTTCTGCTGCAGTAGGACGCTCTGTTATCGTTAAAGGAGACGATGAAATGGTTTGAATAAGAACTACCTTTGGATCATGAAGATAGATCTGCTCTTCAGAAGCTGCAGTGATTATATTTGTCCACCAGATGTCAGTGTTACAGTCTGAGCTGCTTCAGAGGCTTCGACACATTTGACACAGTCTGGGATTGAAAGCCTCAGTGTGTCACAAAAACATGGGTTTGGTGAATGCACAAATGAAAGTGGTGGGTTCGACCAGAGAGAGAGGGAGAGACCAGAGAGAGAGACCAGAGAGAGAGACCAGAGAGAGACCAGAGAGAGACCAGAGAGAGGGAGAGACCAGGGAGAGACCAGGGAGAGAGAGAGAGAGACCAGAGAGAGGGAGAGACCAGGGAGAGACCAGGGAGAGACCAGGGAGAGACCAGAGAGAGGGAGAGACCAGGGAGAGACCAGGGAGAGACCAGAGAGAGGGAGAGACCAGGGAGAGACCAGAGAGAGAGACCAGAGAGAGAGACCAGAGAGAGACCAGGGAGAGACCAGAGAGAGGGAGAGACCAGGGAGAGACCAGGGAGAGACCAGAGAGAGAGAGAGGGAGAGACCAGGGAGAGACCAGAGAGAGGGAGAGACCAGGGAGAGACCAGGGAGAGACCAGAGAGACCAGGGAGAGACCAGGGAGAGACCAGGGAGAGACCAGGGAGAGACCAGGGAGAGACCAGGGAGAGAGACCAGAGAGAGAGACCAGAGAGAGAGGGAGAGACCAGGGAGAGACCAGGGAGAGACCAGGGAGCGAGACCAGAGAGAGAGACCAGGGAGAGAGGGAGAGACCAGGGAGAGAGGGAGAGACTAGGGAGAGACCAGGGAGAGAGCAGAGAGAGACCAGAGAGAGAGGGAGAGAGAGACCAGAGGGAGAGACCAGAGAGAGACCAGAGAGAGGGAGAGACCAGGGAGAGACCAGGGAGAGACCAGAGAGAGACCAGAGAGAGACCAGAGAGAGACCAGAGAGAGACCAGAGAGAGACCAGAGAGAGGGAGAGACCAGGGAGAGACCAGAGAGAGGGAGAGACCAGGGAGAGACCAGGGAGAGACCAGGGAGAGAGACCAGAGAGAGAGACCAGAGAGAGAGGGAGAGACCAGGGAGAGACCAGAGAGAGACCAGAGAGAGACCAGAGAGAGGGAGAGACCAGGGAGAGACCAGAGAGAGACCAGAGAGAGACCAGAGAGAGACCAGAGAGAGACCAGGGAGAGACCAGGGAGAGACCAGAGAGAGGGAGAGACCAGGGAGAGACCAGAGAGAGGGAGAGACCAGGGAGAGACCAGGGAGAGACCAGGGCGAGACCAGGGAGAGACCAGGGAGAGACCAGGGAGAGAGACCAGAGAGAGAGACCAGAGAGAGAGGGAGAGACCAGGGAGAGACCAGGGAGAGAGACCAGAGAGAGAGACCAGAGAGAGAGGGAGAGACCAGGGAGAGAGGGAGAGACTAGGGAGAGACCAGGGAGAGAGCAGAGAGAGACCAGAGAGAGACCAGAGAGAGACCAGAGAGACCGTGGTTGGTTCAACAAGGTTAGGGTTAGGGAACCACTGGACCAGAGAGAGTGTTGTGTTTTGGTTTTGACCTTACAGTCTGTGTGTGGAGTTGGGCACAGAGAGGACGGAGCTGACGGGACGAGAACTGATGGTGTGTCCACATTTGCATAGATCTGACGGTCTCATGTCTGCGCGTTATTTTTAGCTCGATTATGAAAGATACACAGAGAAACAGAGACTGGAGGAGGAGGGAAACGGTGGAGAATGGCTTCATGCTATTTTTTTAACTTTTTGTTTTATCGTATGAAGTTACAGACAAAGGAAAGTTTTTTTGTATAGCACGGTGCATACTCAAGGCAAGTTAAAAGAGCTGAACTAAACAAAGAAATGATCACAGTGCATTAAAAAGATACAATCCCTCAGTAGTTTAGTCGCTGTGGTCTTTTGAATGCACCGTTAAATGAATGGAGCTGCAGCTAACAAAATGCATTTTGTCACATTCTCTCGTCCCCGCGGCCATTTTGAAAAAGCCACAGACAGTAAAGGTTCGGAGATAAGCGTCACTGCGTCTGTTCATATTTACAGAGTATGGTCCGGACCCGAGGCTGCGGCCTGTGGCTCCTCTCTGGACCTGAACTCTCTCTAAACTCTGCCATGACACACTCTCTGGACCGGTGCCCGATGTTTCACCGACTCTGCACATTTCTCTCTCTGTCTCCCGTCAGCTCCCAAAGCCCCATCACAGCCCGATAACAGCCCGATCACAGCCCGATAACAGCCCCATCACAGCCCGATCACAGCCCGATAACAGCCCCATCACAGCCCGATCACAGCCCGATCACAGCCCCATCACAGCCCCATCACAGCCCGATCACAGCCCGATCACAGCCCGATCACAGCCCGATAACAGCCCCATCACAGCCCGATCACAGCCCGATCACAGCCCCATCGCAGCCCCATCACAGCCCCATCACAGCCCGATAACAGCCCCATCACAGCCCGATCACAGCCCGATAACAGCCCCATCACAGCCCGATCACAGCCCGATAACAGCCCGATAACAGCCCCATCACAGCCCGATCACAGCCCGATAACAGCCCCATCACAGCCCCATCACAGCCCGATCACAGCCCGATCACAGCCCGATCACAGCCCGATCACAGCCCCATCACAGCCCGATCACAGCCCGATCACAGCCCGATCACAGCCCGATAACAGCCCCATCACAGCCCCATCACAGCCCGATCACAGCCCCATCGCAGCCCCATCACAGCCCCATCACAGCCCGATAACAGCCCCATCACAGCCCGATCACAGCCCGATAACAGCCCCATCACAGCCCGATCACAGCCCGATAACAGCCCGATAACAGCCCCATCACAGCCCGATCACAGCCCGATAACAGCCCCATCGCAGCCCCATCACAGCCCGATCACAGCCCAATAACAGCCCCATCGCAGCCCGATCACAGCCCGATAACAGCCCCATCACAGCCCGATCACAGCCCCATCACAGCCCGATCACAGCCCGATAACAGCCCCATCGCAGCCCCATCACAGCCCGATCACAGCCCGATAACAGCCCCATCGCAGCCCGATCACAGCCCGATAACAGCCCCATCACAGCCCGATCACAGCCCGATAACAGCCCCATCGCAGCCCCATCACAGCCCCATCACAGCCCGATAACAGCCCCATCACAGCCCGATCACAGCCCGATAACAGCCCCATCGCAGCCCCATCACAGCCCGATCACAGCCCGATAACAGCCCCATCACAGCCCCATCACAGCCCGATCACAGCCCGATAACAGCCCCATCACAGCCCCATCACAGCCCGATCACAGCCCGATAACAGCCCCATCGCAGCCCCATCACAGCCCCATCACAGCCCGATAACAGCCCCATCACAGCCCGATCACAGCCCGATAACAGCCCCATCGCAGCCCGATCACAGCCCGATAACAGCCCCATCACAGCCCGATCACAGCCCCATCACAGCCCGATCACAGCCCGATAACAGCCCCATCACAGCCCCATCACAGCCCGATCACAGCCCGATAACAGCCCCATCGCAGCCCGATCACAGCCCGATCACAGCCCGATAACAGCCCCATCACAGCCCCATCACAGCCCGATAACAGCCCCATCACAGCCCCATCACAGCCCGATCACAGCCCGATAACAGCCCCATCACAGCCCCATCACAGCCCGATCACAGCCCGATAACAGCCCCATCGCAGCCCCATCACAGCCCCATCACAGCCCGATAACAGCCCCATCACAGCCCGATCACAGCCCGATAACAGCCCCATCGCAGCCCCATCACAGCCCGATCACAGCCCGATAACAGCCCCATCGCAGCCCCATCACAGCCCCATCACAGCCCGATCACAGCCCGATAACAGCCCCATCACAGCCCGATCACAGCCCCATCACAGCCCCATCACAGCCCGATCACAGCCCCATCGCAGCCCCATCACAGCCCCATCACAGCCCGATAACAGCCCGATAACAGCCCCATCGCAGCCCCATCACAGCCCCATCACAGCCCGATCACAGCCCCATCACAGCCCCATCACAGCCCGATCACAGCCCCATCGCAGCCCCATCACAGCCCCATCACAGCCCGATAACAGGCCGATCACAGCCCGATCACAGCCCCATCGCAGCCCCATCGCAGCCCCATCGCAGCCCCATCGCAGCCCCATCGCAGCCCGATAACAGGCCGATCACAGCCCGATCACAGCCCCATCACAGCCCCATCGCAGCCCCATCGCAGCCCCATCGCAGCCCCATCGCAGCCCCATCGCAGCCCGATAACAGGCCGATCACAGCCCGATCACAGCCCGATAACAGGCCGATCACAGCCCGATAACAGGCCGATCACAGCCCCATCACAGCCCCATCGCAGCCCCATCGCAGCCCCATCGCAGCCCCATCGCAGCCCCATCGCAGCCCCATCACAGCCCCATCACAGCCCGATCACAGCCCCATCGCAGCCCCATCACAGCCCGATCACAGCCCCATCGCAGCCCCATCACAGCCCCATCACAGCCCGATCACAGCCCCATCGCAGCCCCATCACAGCCCGATAACAGCCCCATCGCAGCCCCATCGCAGCCCCATCGCAGCCCCATCGCAGCCCCATCACAGCCCGATCACAGCCCCATCGCAGCCCCATCGCAGCCCCATCGCAGCCCCATCGCAGCCCCATTGCAGCCCCATCGCAGCCCCATCGCAGCCCCATCGCAGCCCCATCGCAGCCCCATCGCAGCCCCATCGCAGCCCCATTGCAGCCCCATCGCAGCCCCATCGCAGCCCCATCGCAGCCCCATCCTAGTCGGCTCAATGGGGGTTGAACCAAAGACAAAACATATCACTGCTGATAAATGCTGTACCTGAACAGCTGTAAGGTCCTGGGCTGACAGAAGGTAACGAGAGGGAACTAGCCTCAAGAGAGGGGTCCAAAGAACACCCACAAACACACAAACCCACAAACCCACAAACACACAAACCCACAAACCCACAAACACACAAACCCACAAACCCAGACCTGACCAGTGCCTTCAGGAGCAAAGGACCTCAGACCATTTTTTTTTGTTTCTTCATTTTGACTCAAACACCACCTTGCCCTAAAAGACAACAGCAGTCGTCTCCAAGGACTTTGCAAAGTGGCAGATTCACCAAACAATACACAAACTACAGACAGAGAGAGAGAGAGAGAGAGACAGAGAGAGACAGACAGTGAGAGAGGGACAGAGAGAGAGACAGAGAGCGATAGAGAGACGGAGAGAAAGAGAGAGAGATAGATAGAGATACATACATAGATAGACAGATACACATCCATAGACCAAATCCAATTGTCCTTTAGCAGAAACACATCCAGCCATTGAAAATAAACCCATAATTCTAAAAGTGACTAACAATAGTAACAGATGTGGAAGAGAAGAGAAGAAACCATAATCTCACAGTTTATCTGAGGTCCTTTGACCTCGTTCCAAAGGCCTCAGTCCTGGTGTGAGCCTGACCCTTTACGACGGCTCTTAAACACATTCACACAGACGTTAGCGCCGCGTTAGCACCACTTGTTGACGTGGCTGGGTTTGCGGTTGGCAGAGTCGGACCAGCTGAGGCAGACCAGCTGAGTCGGACCAGCTGAGTCGGACCAGCTGTGATGTTTCTGTGTCAGGCACCATCAAACATTGATCAGAAATTAACTTAGTCTGACCACTCTCGGTCTCTATGCACGGACACACAGCAGGGGGCAACTAGGCTAATGCAATACAAGCTATTTATAGCTCTGGTCTCTCTCTCTGGTCTCTCTCTGGTCTCTCTCTCTGGTCTCTCTCTGGTCTCTCTCTGGTCTCTCTCTGGTCTCTCTCTCTGGTCTCTCTCTGGTCTCTCTCTGGTCTCTCTCTGGTCTCTCTCTCTGGTCTCTCTCTGGTCTCTCTCTGGTCTCTCTCTGGTCTCTCTCTCTGGTCTCTCTCTCTGGTCTCTCTCTGGTCTCTCTCTCTGGTCTCTCTCTGGTCTCTCTCTGGTCTCTCTCTGGTCTCTCTCTGGTCTCTCTCTGGTCTCTCTCTCTGGTCTCTCTCTCTGGTCTCTCTCTCTGGTCTCTCTCTCTGGTCTCGCTCTAGTCTCTCTCTGGTCTCTCTCTCTGGTCTCTCTCTGGTCTCTCTCTGGTCTCTCTCTGGTCTCTCTCTGGTCTCTCTCTGGTCTCTCTGGTCTCTCTCTGGTCTCTCTCTGGTCTCTCTCTGGTCTCTCTCTGGTCTCTCTCTGGTCTCTCTCTGGTCTCTCTCTGGTCTCTCTCTGGTCTCTCTGGTCTCTCTCTGGTCTCTTTCTGGTCTCTCTCTCTGGTCTCTTTCTGGTCTCTCTCTCTGGTCTCTCTCTGGTCTCTCTCTCTGGTCTCTCTCTGGTCTCTCTCTGGTCTCTCTCTCTGGTCTCTCTCTGGTCTCTCTCTCTGGTCTCTCTCTGGTCTCTCTCTGGTCTCTCTCTCTGGTCTCTCTCTGGTCTCTCTCTCTAGTCTCTCTGGTCTCTCTCTGGTCTCTCTGGTCTCTCTCTCTGGTCTCTCTCTGGTCTCTCTCTGGTCTCTCTCTCTGGTCTCTCTCTGGTCTCTCTCTCTGGTCTCTCTCTGGTCTCTCTCTCTGGTCTCTCTCTGGTCTCTCTCTCTGGTCTCTCTCTGGTCTCTCTCTGGTCTCTCTCTCTGGTCTCTCTCTGGTCTCTCTCTCTGGTCTCTCTCTGGTCTCTCTCTGGTCTCTCTCTCTGGTCTCTCTCTGGTCTCTCTCTGGTCTCTCTCTCTGGTCTCTCTCTGGTCTCTCTCTCTGCTCTCTCTCTGTTTTCAAACTGCTCTTTGTTGGTGAGAATCTTCCCGGAGAGGTTTTAAAGACCATAAAGAGCCAAAGGAGGAGATAAAAGGGCCATAAATGTAAACAATAAGTGAGAGACGCCGGTGAAGTGTGTGTTAGTCCAGGACCAGCTGCTCTTCATGGTCTGTGAACACCAGGAGCTCATGATGTCACCCTCTCATTAGACACACCAGACTCCTGAACGTGTCCTGAACGGCAGAGAATCTTCCGCACTTTTTCTGCCAAAAAACTAAAAATTCCCACGGTCTCCCCCGTCTGTGAACGCATCCCGACGCCGCGTAGCCGTGTATGCTAGTGCTTTTCATGGGTTGTTGGACTCAGTACGTAAACAAAGGGTTCAGGATTATTCATGTGTTTTGTTGTTTTTGCATCAGTGAAATAAAGTCAAGTCGATCAATCTGAGAGAATAGTTCAAAAGGAGTTGCCGTGACGACGTGGTCTATAGCGATGTTTCTATACGGCTCTGCTCCGTAAAAACTAAACCATAAACGTCCTCCGTCTGTGCCCGTGACGTCCTCTTGTTCTCTCGCCGCTGATTCCATCTGATTATACTTTTCTAGAACACACAACCATAAGCAGAAGGGGTTTGGTTCCATGTCCTGTTCCCGACTTTGAAAAGATCATTTAAAGGACTATTTAGTGCTGAGTAAAAGCTAAAAAAACGTATTAAAAAATGGTCGCAAAATACTGTAAAAAAATGTAAGAAAAATCTGGTGGTGTGCAGAGGATGTGACCGTTTTCAGGGAATTGAACCAATGTATTTACAAAGACATTTTAAGGTCAATTCTTGGATTTGTAGTTATTTTCTGGTTTTATTTTTGAGATCAATTTGAAAATGTACTTTTGAAATATATCTGTCGTGTTTGGGTTTGTCATTTCTGCGGCTGCTTCTGAGGCTAAAGGGCTAACAAAGGGCTAATAAAGGGCTAAAGGGCTAATAAAGGGCTAAAGGGCTACAGATGGACATTAGCTCAAATTTTCACTTGCAGTGTGTGTGTGTGTGTGTGTGTTTGTGTGTGTGTCTATGTACGTGTGCGTGTTAGTCTGTGTGCCTGTATGTGCATGTGTGTGTGTGTGTCTGTCTGTACGTGTGTGTCTGTGTGTCTATGTGTGTGTGTCTATGTATGTGTGTTAGTCTGTGTGTCTGTATGTGTGTGTTTGTGTGTGTGTGTCTGTGTGTGTCTATGTCTGTGTGTGTTTGTGTGTGTCTGTGTGTGTCTATGTACGCATGTGTCTGTGTCTGTCTGTGTGTGTTTGTGTGTGTCCGATCCAGCTGTGATTGAAGCGACGGCTCCAGCGTCGTGTCCTGAGATGACGGAATCTTTATTATTTTTTTACAGTGCATGAGTCACGGCGCTCGGAGGCGAAGGACCCGCCCCCGTCACATCAGAGAGACTGAAGAAACACAACCCACAAAGATGCAAAGGACCTGCCAGAACCAGACGACAACACAACCCAAAGTATTTATTATTTTATTTAAATTGTGACGGGCACATTCCTCCACATGTGGGTTTTCAACATTTATTTAACTATGAATATTCAATTGATTATGTTTTTATTTGTATTTTTGCCACAGAACTGAAGTCAGAGACACTGCTGTGATTCAGGGTTACACAAGAACAACATGGAAAATACACAATTCCATTTTCTTACGCTTGATCCGTTGCCGGGTTGCAGTCTGAGCAGAGAGACACACACACAAACACACACAGACACACACACAGAGACAGAGACAGAGACACACACACACAGAGACAGACAGACACAGACAGAGACACACACACAGACACACACAGAGACAAAGACACACACACAGACACACACAGAGACAGAGACACACACACAGACACACACAGACAGAGACAGACACACACACAGACACAGACACACACAGAGATAGAGACACACACACACAGAGACACACACAGACACAAACAGAGACAGAGACACACACAGAGACACACTCACAGACACACACACACACAGACACAGACACACACAGACACAGACACACACAGAGACAGAGACACACACAGACACACACAGACACACACTGTTTAGTCTGTCATTGGGTCTTGTTTACGTGTCTTGGCAGTCGCTGATCAGACCAAGGAGAGAGAGACTGGAACCAGGACTCTCTCACAAACTATACTCTCTCACAAACTATGTACTCTCTCACAAACTATGTACTCTCTCACAAACTATGTACTCTCTCATGAACTATGTACTCTCTCATGAACTATGTACTCTCTCATGAACTATGTACTCTCTCACAAACTATGTACTCTCTCACAAACTATGTACTCTCTCACGAACTATGTACTCTCTCATGAACTATGTACTCTCTCATGAACTATGTACTCTCTCACAAACTATGTACTCTCTCACAAACTATGTACTCTCTCATGAACTATGTACTCTCTCATGAACTATGTACTCTCTCATGAACTATGTACTCTCTCACAAACTATGTACTCTCTCACAAACTATGTACTCTCTCACGAACTATGTACTCTCTCACAAACTATTTACTCTCTCATAAACTATGTACTCTCTCATAAACTATGTACTCTCTCATAAACAACTCTCACAAACTATGTACTCTCTCAAACTATGTACTCTCTCACAAACTATACTCTCTCACAAACTATTTACTCTCTCACAAACTATGTACTCTCTCTCTCACTCAAACTATGTACTCTCTCATGAACTATGTACTCTCTCATGAACTATGTACTCTCTCACAAACTATGTACTCTCTCACAAACTATGTACTCTCTCATAAACTATGTACTCTCTCACAAACTATGTACTCTCTCACAAACTATGTACTCTCTCACAAACTATGTACTCTCTCATGAACTATGTACTCTCTCACAAACTATGTACTCTCTCTCACAAACTATGTACTCTCTCACAAACTACTCTCTCTCACGAACTATGTACTCTC